TCTTTATATTTGCCGGTACATGTTTCCGTAATCTGGAATGGTCAGAGTATTTCGAAAGGTGGTGAGGTGAGGTGAAATGGGGTTTAACGTCGCGTCCAAGATTATTGCACTTATATAGCGACGTGCATGCACGTGTGTGTGTGTGGCTGCTTGTACTAGACCGGACTGGTGCCGATTTATAGTGCTAGCTCACTGAGATACCATGCCGCAGTTTAACATAAATACCCCACTCAGACACAGTATACTCACTCCGAGCCGACCAGTCCTTGTTTTAGGCCGAGCGCCAGACAGGGTAACAACAAGTACCATCTTTTCACGTCTTTTGGTATGACGCGGCCGGGGATCGAACTCCGGACCTTCCGCTCTCCGGGCGGACGTTCTACCACTAGACCACGGAGGCGGTCATTTCGAAAGGACCAAAACCAATATCAAACTACCCAGCAATATTACCCTCCTTTCTCAAGTATAAAAGCTTTTTATTTTATATTTGTTTGTTTTTCCAAACGTATTTGGCCTAAACTTCAATATAGGTAGTTGGACGATAGCTCGTCTTACACACAATAACGGAAGTACGATTGTTAATCTATATCGAAAGATAATTGATTTGTTAGAGTAATAGAATTTTTTTTACGAACAGCGGTGATAGATTCTCATGCTTTTTTATATTTAACTTATTTGTAAAATAGAGATAAAAAAAAAAGAATTGTCAAGAAGTATTTTTTCTTTTCACATTTGAGATGTTTTCGTCGTTCTATCGCGTAAACCAACGAAATATATATAAGGCTAAGCATTATTTTTAAATGGGGTATCTTCTCGTGGAATCGTAGCTGATTGTTAATCACGATCAGTTCTACAACATTGTTATTTATGTCAAAATATTATCAGTCCTGCTGTAGGACTGTCACGTTATTCTCACTATGTAGGCAGAAACTTAAAACATTACAATTTCTTAGTAAACTCAGTAAGTTGAATGAAAGAAGTAATTGAAATAAATGGGTTCACGCTCAAATTAAATGTTATATTTACGGGTCTCATTTTCGTTGTTTTGAAATTATATTTGCTCTGTAAGTTTAATGATGTGACACTAGTATAGTATATTTATAAAAATTAACAAAAAATCATGAAATAGGTTTTGTGTAATATCATGTCATAGCTATAGTAAAACGCCGAACGTTAGATTGTAAAGAACGAGTAAAATGATTAGTTTATGATATATAACGTACATGAGCTGTGTGTCAAAGCTAAGAAGATGTCATGAAACCAATAGAGAGACATTATAGTCCCATTTTATTAGCAACAACATCACTAGTGAGGAATAACTTTGAACGAAATATCCTCTCAGCAACATGAATATGTTGTAATATTTTGCATGTACAATGTATCACACAACATGAACGTTGAAAATATTTTACCACACTTGGTTGCGGGTGGTAACTGTAGAGACGTTTTGACTTTGAAAAGCACCAACTGAAGTTTGATTCCCACTAAACATTTTCAGCCTTATATTCTTATAATCTGCATGACAGCCTAGTTCGGCAAGGGTGGAAAGTGGACATTTAACGCTCAGTAATACCCCCATTACACCGGACGGCGACCTTTCTGCGACCGTTCTGCGTTCTTAAGTTTTGCCAGGTCGGCGTTGAAGGCAGAGGGGTCGCAGAACGGTCGCGTAGAGCGCACAAGGGAGGCAGAGGGAACGCTCAGCCATCGCCATGAGCGCCACTGTCGCTGAAAAGTTTTGAACCTGCTTAAAACAGTCGCAGTGAGATCGCCGTCGATGTAAGTCGCTCAAGGGAGGCAGAACGGAGGCAGAGGGAACGCAGAAGGAAGGCAGAACGGTCGTAGGAGCGATTACACCAAAAGGGAGTTTTCTTGAGTATGGCGACCCCACTGCGCTCTAGTCAAATTTTAGGACGCAGAAGGAGCGCAGAGCGATCGCCGTTTGGTGTAATGGCCCCTTTAACGCTCTTGCCTCAGGAGATGGACATAACCAGCCAATGGCAGATTATCTGATAATCCACGCTTGGGGTTGTTGCAGGAAACAATAGGCATAACCTCCCAATGTGATGTGTTTATTTATGTAGATGTGACGTGGATGCATTTGGGTGCATTTAAAATCTGTTAGTTCTGCAGGCTGATCACCCGGAACGACACGTTGTGGGAACTCGTGTCATTCACGCGTAAACCCTCAGATAAATCACACTGAGCGCCCCATCCCCGTTACTGACAGTCATGATCACGCCATGATAGACATAACTTGATAAACATAGTGGTCACACACCTATACTCCCTTCAGTAACTATATCCTGCAATGTAATGTCGCGGAGGAGATCCCCTAGCCTAATGGTTAAACAGTTCGCTCTGACCCAGTGTCAACTAAGCCACAGTGTTGGTAACCCCGCTAAGCTATTGTGGAACCCACTGTATGGTATTGCTTGCTCACACATTCACTCACTCACTCACTTGAAAGTGACAAAACGCTTTCCAGTTTCACAAGAAATCCATTCGCTCGGTCAGATACCATAGAAAGTCCACTCGTTTTGTAAAAACTGGTATCTAACGAGAATGAGTGTAGTATTTTCTGTATTCATAGCGTGCTCGCGTTAGTGTGCAGTGGATATTGCCGTGTTACCTCCCTCGCGCACCCCAGGGATACTGCCATCTCCATGCCGTGCTCTCGTGGATGTTACCTTGACTTCCTACATGTACGCCCAACGGTTACTGCCCTATAAAAACTCCCTTGTCATGTTACGTTAAGTGAATGAGTGAGTGAGTTGGGTTTAACGCCGCTTTTAACAGCATTCCGGTTATATCACGACGTGACAGCTTAATGTGGGAGGAAAGCCCGAAGGTCTCAGACGTTTACCATTTCGGTGAAACCCACGAGCACGGGGATGGTGCTGCCAAACCTAGAAACATAATCAGGGCGAACCGGGATTCGAACCCACAATCATAGGTTTCTGGCCTGCCGAAGGGACGCAACTCTGCACAGCGAATCTGGGCGCCTTAGACGACTGGGCCACCCGTGCCCCCGTTAAGTGAGTAAGTGACTATGGCTCTACGTATGTTTCACACTCCAATACACCAGAATGAACCACAAACGGACTCCACACGTTTTACCCATTTGGGAAATCAAACCAGGATCAACAGGGTAAACCACTTGGTTACACCACTGCCCCAGAACACATACAGCGGAAAGCGACGGGAGACAGACAACTGAATCAGAACCTAACAGGAGACTGCCTCGACACTCGATCAAGTTGGTCATGTCTATCATCTGTCACATCTGTATCATCTGGCTCAGGTGTACAATCTGGGACATCTGTATCATCTGGGACAACTGTATCATCTGGCTCAGGTGTACCATCTGGGACATCTGTATCATCTGGCTCAGGTGCACCATCTAGCTCAGGTGCACCATCTGGGACATCTGTATCATCTGGGACATCTGTATCATCTGGCTCAGGTGTACCACCTGTCACATCTGTATCATCTGGCTCAGGTGTATCATCTGGGACATCTGTATCATCTGGCTCAGGTGTACCATCTGTCACATCTGTATCATCTGGCTCAGGTGTATCATCTGGGACATCTGTATCGTCTGGCTCAGGTGTACCACCTGTCACATCTGTATCATCTGGCTCAGGTGTATCATCTGGGACATCTGTATCATCTGGCTCAGGTGTACCACCTGTCACATATGTATCATCTGGCTCAGGTGTATCATCTGGGACATCTGTATCATCTGGCTCAGGTGTACCATCTGTCACATCTGTATCATCTGGCTCAGGTGCACCATCTGGGACATCTGTATCATCTGGCTCAGGTGCACCATCTGGGACATCTTTATCATCTGGCTCAGGTGTACCATCTGGGACATCTGTATCATCTGGCTCAGGTGTACCATCTGTCACATCTGTATCATCTGGCTCAGGTGCACCATCTGGGACATCTGTATCATCTGGCTCAGGTGTACCATCTGGGACATCTGTATCATCTGGCTCAGGTGTACCACCTGTCACATCTGTATCATCTGGCTCAGGTGTACCATCTGGGACATCTGTATCATCTGGCTCAGGTGTACCATCTGTCACATCTGTACTATCTTGCTCAGGTGTATCATCTGGGACATCTGTACTATCTGGCTCAGGTGCACCATCTGGGACATCTGCACCATCTGGGACATCTGTATCATCTGGGACATCTGTATCATCTGGCTCAGGTGTACCATCTGTCACATCTGTACTATCTGGCTCAGGTGTATCATCTGGGACATCCGTACTATCTGGCTCAGGTGCACCATCTGGGACATCTGCACCATCTGGGACATCTGTATCATCTGGGACATCTGTATCATCTGGCTCAGGTGTATCATCTGTCACATCTGTACTATCTGGCTCAGGTGTATCATCTGGGACATCTGTATCATCTGGCTCAGGTGTACCATCTGTCACATCTGTACCATCTGGGACATCTGTATCATCTGGGAAATCTGTATCATCTGGCTCAGGTGTACCATCTGGGACATCTGTATGATCTGGCTCAGGTGTACCATCTGTCACATCTGTACCATCTGGGACATCTGTATCATCTGGGAAATCTGTATCATCTGGCTCAGGTGTACCATCTGGGACATCTGTATGATCTGGCTCAGGTGTACCATCTGTCACATCTGTACCATCTGGGACATCTGTATCATCTGGCTCGGGTGTACCATCTGGGACATCTGTATCATCTGGCTCAGGTGTACCATCTGGTTTATCTGTATCATCTGGTTCATGTGTATCATCTGGTTTAACTGTATCATCTTGGTCCTGTGTTACATCGGGTCCTGTGTATCATCTGGGGCATGTGTACCATCTGGGTCATGAGTATCGTCAGTACTCTCTGGGTCATGTGTCATCAACAATTTAAACGAAAAACATTATTGAATTGAGTATCCTCGTAAACATGTGTCAAATATATTTACATTTTTTTAAATTTCATTTTATAGACAAAACCACTAGTCACATGTTGATTTTTTATTTTGCTATTCGTAAGTATAACCTACAAAACACAATTCGTATGCAAAAGAAGGATAGATAATTTCAATATGTCCCATAAAAAAAAACTATAAAGGAACATTGTGTTTGGACGGTTAAAAATAAAAAAGTAAGATGGAAATAATACAATCATGCAAAACACACCTTTTAGACGGAAAAATATGAGGAAGAAGAACTCTAATGTGTATATTATTTTTAACATATTCAGGCCATGCAAGTTCTTATGAATTATAAGAGTTTTATAGAGTAAATAGGAACTCTACTGAGTAGGTATTTCAGATGAGGAGTCACATGTGTACGATATGCCCTTCCCTGGATGTTTGAAGGACGTGAACCTGGGTGCTGGGCCTGTTGCAGGCCTTGATGACGAACACGATGATGCCAACAAAGATGCAGAAGCCAATGATCCCTCCAACAGATCCGGCGGTGACACCAGTAATCGAAACGCTGGTTTTGGCTCTGGAGACAATAAAATCGAACTATTAGACATTGTCGAACTACAGAAATTGCAAGAAGTTATTGTTCAGTTGTTTACAATCGGACAAAGGTTTAACATTGGAATTGTTAAAGAGAATGAGGGCCCTTTTGGGTCAACGGGGTCGTAATAATTTAATATAAACGTTATCAGTTATATTCATATGAAATAAAAGCGACAAAACCTTTTGCAGTGCCTATTGTGCTATTCCGGCTATATCATATGTGAGTGAGTGAGTGAATACGGTTTTACGCCGCTTTTAGCAATATTCCAGCAATATCACGGCGGGGGACACCAGAAATGGGCTTCACACATTGTACCCATGTCGGGAATCGGACCCGGGTCTTCGGCGTGACGAGCGAACGCTTTAACCACTAGGCTACCCGACCGCCCCCTATATCATATGTATGTGTCCATGTTTAGGCATACTCATACCGATACTTTAAAGCTTTTGTAACTTACAATTGGACATTTAAAGTGGAACAAAATGGGTCTTTCGTCACCTTAATCATACACTTACCGCAATCATTACCAGTAGCTATTTATACGATTTATATATTTATATATGTAAACACTTTGATACCTGTACACGTAGTTTTTGAACCTACGTCTTTCTCTGCCCATGTTTTATTTATTGCTTTCACGCATATATATAAATAATCCAGTAATCAAGACGTCGTGATATAACTGGAATACTGTTTAAAGCAGCGTTAAACCCAACTCGCTCACACACTTACTCAGTGTACCAGAACATGTTTCACATAACACGCTAGCGCTTAACCGCTTGATATGCCTGGCTTCCGACAAAGGTGAAAAAGATTCCATTATCCCTCTTATACAACACACGAATTACCAATAATATGAAAACACAGTTGATAACTTCTTTACCCCGTTTATAAACTCTTCAAAAAGGTCAGGGATACTCGGAAATAACTTAAATGTTCCAAAAGTAAATCACAACTGACAAGCAGAATCAATACGATTGACAGAAATAATGGTCCACAGGGATTACGCATGGGACGTTTGTCATCAACACTATTATAAGTTGTAGTAGTATCACGAAGGGTACATGTGGATTTATTTTTCCCGCGTTAGGTTTAATATCACGAGCCGGAGTCGAGCAGTATAAACCAAACGAGGGACACATAAATCTAAATGTACTCCGTGATAATGGTACAACGAATTTATCTTACCCCACAAATTCAAAATTGATAGAAAATAGCTGTTCGATTGAGCTGAGGTCAACTCGTTCTTTATCACGTGACTTTCATTGACTCGGAAAAAGCGTGCGGCTTTTTGCTTTGAAGCGGGGTGTAAGGGATTTATTCCACGTGCACCCTGTCTTGTTCGTGGCGGGGTATTAGGGATTTATTCTTCCGCCGAGAATGTTTTGCCCTCCAAGGCGGGATACATATTGGCATTTTACCAAGATCACGTGAACTAATCAGATCTCATCATTCTAACATGGAGGTATGATAATGACATTTATATTTCACGACCCCCTACTATTTTAAGAGTATATATGAGGGATATTATCCATCTTCAGTCGACCGCCTCCGTGGTCTAGTGGTAGAGCGTCTGCCCGGAGAGCGGAAGGTCCAGGGTTCGATCCCCGGCCGCGTCATACCAAAAGACGTTAAAAGATGGTACTTGTTGTTACCCTGTCTGGCGCTCGGCATAAAGGGGCTAAAAGAACGACTGGTCGGCTCGGAGTCAGTATACTGTGTCTGAGTTGGGTATTTATGTTAAACAGCGGCATGGTATCTCAGTGAGCTAGCACTATAAATCGGCATCAGTCCGGACTAGTACAAGCAGACACACAAACACACACACGTTCATGCACGTCGCTATATAAGTGCAATAACCTTGGACGCGACGTTAAACCCCATTTCACCTCACCCATCTTCATTCATACTTGACGGAAAATATGAATTAGAAACATCGTTCAGAAAAGACAATAATTCAACAGAGTTTCAAGTCACTCACGTGCAGCATTTAGCTGTGTACAAGCTTCCACAGCAGTAAACAGAGCAGTAGTAGGTTTTGTAGTAGGAACTGGAAGTACTGTAATATCTTTTACAGTACTGTCCGGCATAGACGCCTGTAACATGATCATACCATATAGGTAACATAACATACTCACCATATTACACGTTACACAACAACATCGTGATACTGTGTTGTGACAGGTTGAACAATAACATTGTGGCAATGTGTCGATAACATATTACAGGTAGCACAGTTACAGTGTGTCGGTAACATATCATATGTAGCACAATTACAGTGTGTCGGTAACATATTATAAGTATCACAGTCACAGTGTGTCGGTATCATATTATAGGTAGCACAGTTACAGTGTGTCGGTATCATATTATAGGCAGCACAGTTACAGTGTGTCGGTAACATATTATAAGTATCACAGTTACAGTGTGTCGGTAACATATTATAGGTAGCACGGTTACAATGTGTCGGTATCATATTATAGGCAGCACAGTTACAGCGTGTCGGTAACATATTATAAGTATCACAGTTACAGTGTGTCGGTAACATATTATAAGTATCACAGTTACAGTGTGTCGGTATCATATTATAGGTAACACAGTTACAATGTGTCGGTAACATATTATAAGTATCACAGTTACAGTGTCTCGGTAACATCTTATAAGTATCACAGTTACAGTGTGTCGGTATCATATTATAGGTAGCACGGTTACAATGTGTCGGTAACATATTATAAGTATCACAGTTACAGTGTGTCGGTATCATATTATAGGTAGCACGGTTACAATGTGTCGGTAACATATTATCGGTAACACAGTTACAGTGTGTCGGTAACATATTATAAGTATCACAGTTACAGTGTGTCGGTAACATATTACTGATAACAGTGACACTGTGACATTGTGTTGATAACGTATTATAGATAGTATAGTAATACTGTGACACTATGTCGGTAACATAAACAAGTAGCACAGTAACATTGGGACATTATGTAGGTAACATGTCATAGATAACGCTGTAACAGATAACATCACAGTGATGACGTGAGTCATTAATAAAATTTGTATCTTTAATTGTGAAATTACACGGAGTTACGTTGACCAGAAGCGTAACCACTCATGTTTCTCTGGGGAATAGATATAACCAGCATTGTACCTGGGACCTGACATTTTTATAGTCGTGTATATTTAATGTAATACAGAAGAGTGAGGTACACGTATATAGAGAAGAAACTGTTGAATACATATAACAACGGAAAGAGCAGGTGTTGTTTAATATTCCTGTTTCGCGATTTGATAAAACGCTGTCGCCCTCGTGTGTCAAACACAGACCGAAGTTCTGCAGTTCACGAGATTTCCACTTTCCATTTTCATCAATTACCCATAGCTCTTTTCCAGTAGTTAAAAGGGATGGCTGGAACGGCCTGAGCCTACGAAGTATCATGTATAGTATACAGCCTTATAGAGGTGGGCAGCTCAGTTCAAAATCTGAAAGATTTTCAACTACCACTTTCGAAAATGTTGATAAATTATATTTTCCCCGTTCATGATTATGGGTGATCGACGACTCACTATACGCCACACAGTCAATACACTTCTGAGAAATGAACTGGGCACGACAAAGGTTTAAGCAAGTATCCTAGGTAGACGTTGGTGCTCTACCGGATATTTCTCTTATGACAACACACAAGTCCGTCTGTGGGTCCACAACGTTTATTCGTGATCTGAATATGTCTATATAACTACATAGTAGTATGGCCAAGCAGGATCTCTGAGGCGTAAGAGGGCCAACCTGCCTAGCCGCTGTCCGAGGGTCAAGTCCCGACTAACAGAAAGCGTACTATCTTTAACCCTCACTGTCAGACTGCAATGTATCGTGTTACGTTACATACATGGTCAGCCTGCAGTATCCCGCACCTCATCCTCAAAGTTAAGCTTCAGTGGCCAACCGGCCATTCTCTGGCATTAACTACAACCCGCTGACCCGCACATGACTCTGTGCTGCTGGCCATGGTAATGATACCCCAGCTGCTGTTATAATTTGTATTGGCAGCACTTTGTTTATTTAAATAGATATTATAATCAACTTACTTAATTAAGGGAATATATAAAACGTATATACACTCCCTGTTAAAATATATATACCCTGCCAAACTGCCTATGATACAAGCTGGGATTCAAGACTCCTGATCAGAAACGTTCCAGGTTCATCATCTGTCGTGAGAATGTACGTCGTTTTGAAACAGATCCAGCTGATCTTGTTGAGGGATTTGATGAGTCTCGGGTTCACCAATATCAGCCAGGGACCAAACAACAGCCAAAGCAGCGGAAACATCCAACGTCTTTTCTTCCTCAAGATGGCAAAGTCTGTTTCACTCCGAAAGGCCAGGCTGAATTTATGCTAATATGCTTTGACAACAGCGTAAGAATACATAAGGACAACACGTCGGGGAAACACGCATGAAAGGTCGGTTGTTCCACCGTGCATAAAGTTTATGTCGCCATGGCTCCAATGCATGGCCGTGGTTGTGGCTTTTGAAGTCATTGAACAAACTCCGTATTCACCAGATTTGCACCTCAGACTTCACAAACTAGAAGAAAGAACTGCCTGGCAAGCATTATACAAATGATTGCAAAGTCATTTCTACTGTGGAGGAGTGTTAACCTCACCAGGAGGAAGCCTTCTACACCAATGGGATTCACTCCAGTATCGTTGACAGAAGTGTGTGGACTTCGGATGGGATTAAGTTAAAATATAGTCATACAATAACCCCCGTTAAGCAGCAAGGCTTAGAACTTTTCAACCTCTTGTAACTTAAATACATTCAGGCCCATATTTGTAAAATACGAAAACCCTCAATATATGTCACTTAGGGGATAAACGGTGTGTGTTTAATTTTAATTTGCGCGTGTTGTTGAGTATTTGATACCTGGAAATGCCATTTGGACCCCATCTCGTCGAACAGACTTATCTAAACATTGTAAGATGCTACAAAAGTAGGGTCGCGGCATGGCTGAGGTAATATAATCCCGTGCCAAACTAAACCCAAAACAATTATCTTAGGATAACTGTTGATCAATATAATGAATAATCCATAATGAAAGCGAAAACCATTTCTCAAAGACGAATGCCATTTTGCTCAAAATCGGTAAGGATAACAAATATACTTTTTTATCATGAACATTAGTGATCGGTAGTGACAAAACATATACTTATTAAGAAAATGAACAATCCACAAGATTACTGGGTTTTCAATCCCATTTAACACCCTTTTCAACAAACCAGATTGAGGAACACACACTCCTTTGTTTTACAATGCGTTATACCGGGAGTGTTTAACTCTTACCTTGGAAGCTCAGGACCAGCACCAGCATCCAGGTTAGCATCATGCTCGTCATGTTGTGTTGGTATATCTTCCAAGACCAAATACAACCCAACTGGCAGTTTAATCAAACAGCGGGAATTCTGGTGCCCTGATTCAAAGCATATACATATACACTTGTAGCGGTTCCCAATGGAATTCTAGAAGGAACATTGTCGCATTGTCGCATTTTTTTACACTTTTTGCTTGTTTTTGCAAGGGCGACACTGCAACAACGCGACAACGTCCCGTCTGGGGTTCCACAGTTAATCATTCAATGTTAATAAACTAGTTTTATGACGAACCGATACGTCATGTACTTCGTCTTGGTGACAATGTTTTCGAAGTTGTTTCTTTGTCTCATTGAATAGTATTACATTTCTACAATGATAAAAATTCATTATGACAATTGACAATTTATTGTTGTTACCCTATACAATGTAGGTATTAACCAACGTGTGGGGCTACTGATAATGGTGTTGAATTCTGTTTACCTGCATTTGTGCCACACCTTCGGGTCATATCTTAGGATGTACTCTATTCTACAGAGATATGCAATATAATGGTAGAGTGACCAGCCTTATAACTGGCGAAGTGTAACATAATATTGGACCGATATATATCAGAGAGGTGGAGAGAGGGCAGGCAAAGAGAGGGGAGGGAGAAGAGAGCTATAGAAAAAAAGGGGAGAAAGAAGAAGTAGAAGAAGAATGAGAAGGAGGATGAGGAGGTGGAGAGTAAGAGTATGTGTTCATTTCAATAATATGTCAATTGTATATCAGCACGAATGAAATAGTACTAAGTATTATACCTACCGTACGTCACACCCTGCTTTTTAACTAAGAAACAACTTCTTGTGTTTGAGCGATGACTTGATCAAGTGGAATCTAAGTAAACATTGCCGAAACATTGCCCAACCTGCATTAACACTGAATCGTAACGTTATTGATTGCGTAGATGCAGCCTCACGGCATGCAATGGCAATAAGGGCACTACAAACATGTTTCACGCGTTAAATACTGGATTAAAACATGTACATTTAATTACACAAACATAGGCGGGAGGTCTGCCCAATGTTACACAAACACTGCAAATAAAAAAAACAGGAACTATGACTGTCATATCATTAAGACAGACATGTTATCAGATTTATGCATGGTGTTGCCGGTAGTTTTCAAGACCAAAGTGATAGGTTGTGTTCTCTAAATACGCATTTGAAAACACGTGTCTCTGATTGCCATTCTAGAAGTTGATACTAGTAAAGAATAATGAAACTATTATAACAGTTTTTGATTTACTTCACGTTGAGTTGAATGTGGGCACGCGGACAGCGTCCGCCAAAGGACATGGTAACACGAGTAATACTCAATTACAACGCCAGCGTCGTGGATATAAAACAATTAATGCCACGTTGTAACAGGAAGAACCAATACGTCCATTACGTGACTCCATGCTGGGACACGGGTAGCACTGTGAGTCAAGACGTAGCACAAGTTCTAGGATGCCTCCCCTGTTAAGATGCGGGTCTTCAGCAACCCGTACTTGGCGTTAGAGGCGGTTAACAGGATCGGTGCTCAGACTCGCTGACTTTGTTTATGTCATCGTATCTCAATGGGTAAACTCATGATGTCAGTCACTCGATTGTTTGGTCCAGACTCAATTATTTACAGACCGACGTCATACAGCTTTACTATTACTGAGTGCGGCGTTAAACAACACACACGCACACGCACACGCGCACGCACACACGCACACGCACACACGCACACGCACACGCACACGCACGCACACGCACACGCACACGCACACACACACACACAACTCAACTGCTTATGTATTTTATAGTATGGACATTTTATTCAAATTTCAGGGGCGGTCGGGTAGCCTAGTGGTTCAAGCGTTCGCTCGTCACGCCGAAGACCCGGTTTTTGATACCCGACATGGGAACTCACTCACTCACTATTCAAATTTCAAGAAACTTATGCTTTTCATCATTAAAGACCTCTCATTCTAGACATTTTATGGTCGACATGATGCGCAATGCTCGATGGTAACCTATGTCATGACCTTTACAATGAGTTTCCATACGCACTGGCACTATAACTTGTAATGACATTGTGTGTGGGGAGGGTTGTGACGGTAAGGCGATACACAGGGTGTCATCCTTCAGTGATATAGTGTTCCATTCAGGTTTCAATACAGTGTCGTTTTTACGCCCTACATTTTGGCAGATATTTGAGATTTGTGCCTGGCATCCTGACACGGGAATCGGTTGGACAGGCCGTGTACTTTGCCTAATTGTGTGCCTAAATGAGGACGTGGTATGTTGATTTGCCTCATTGTGCCCGAGGGCGTGGTATGTTGACTTGCCTAATTGTGACCGAGGGCGTGGTATGTTGACCTGACTAATTGTGCCCGAGGGCGTGGTATGTTGACTTGCCTAATTGTGCCCGAGGGCGTGGTATGTTGACTTGCCCAATTGTGCCCGAGGGCGTGGAATGTTGACTTGCCTAATTGTGACCGTGAGCGTGGTATGTTGACTTGCCTAATTGTGGTCGAGGGCGTGGTATGTGGACTTGCCTAATTGTGGTCGAGGGCGTGGTATGTTGACTTGCCTAATTGTGCCGGAGGGCGTGGTATGTTGACTTGCCTAATTGTGCCCGTGAGCGTGGTATGTTGACTTGCCCAATTGTGACCGAGGGCGTGGTATGTTGACTTGCCCAATTGTGCCCGAGGGCGTGGTGTGTTGACTTGCCTAATTGTGCCCGAGGGCGTGGTATGTTGACTTGCCTAATTGTGCCCGAGGGCGTGGTATGTTGACTTGCCTAATTGTGCCCGTGAGCGTGATATGTTGACTTGCCTAGTTGTGGTCGAGGGCGTGGTATGTGGACTTGCCTAATTGTGGTCGAGGGCGTGGTATGTTGACTTGCCTAATTGTGCCCGAGGGCGTGGTATGTTGACTTGCCTAATTGTGCCCGAGGGCGTGGTATGTTGACTTGCCTAATTGTGTCCGTGAGCGTGGTATGTTGACTTGCCTAATTGTGCCGGAGGGCGTGGTATGTTGACTTGCCTAATTGTGACCGAGGGCGTGGTATGTTGACTTGCCCAATTGTGCCCGTGAGCGTGGTATGTTGACTTGCCTAATTGTGCCCGAGGGCGTGGTATGTTGACTTGCCTAACTGTGCCCGAGGGCGTGGTATGCTGACTTGGCTAATTGTGCCCGAGGGCGTGGTATGTGGACTTGCCTAATTGTGGCCGAGGACGTGGTATGTTGATTTGCCTCATTGTGCCCGAGGTCGTGGTATGTTGACTTGCCTAATTGTGTCCGAGGGCGTAGTATGTTGACTTGCCTAATTGTGCCCGAGGGCGTGGTATGTTGACTTGCCTAATTGTGCCCGAGGGCGTTGTATGTTGACTTGCCTAACTGTGCCCGAGGGCGTGGTATGTTGACTTGGCTAATTGTGCCCGAGGGCGTGGTATGTTGACTTGCCTAATTGTGACCGAGGGCGTGGTATGTTGACTTGCCTAATTGTCCCCGAGGACTCGGTATGTTGACTTGCCTAACTGTGCCCGAGGGCGTGGTATGTTGACTTGCCTAATTGTGCCCGAGGGCGTGGTATGTTGACTTGCCTAACCCTGCCCGAGGGCATGGTATGTTGACTTGGCTAATTGTGCCCGAGGGCGCGGTATGATGTTCTTGCCTAATTGTGCCCGAGGGCTCGGTATGTTGACTTGCCTAACTGTGCCCGAGGGCGTGGTATGTTGACTTGCCTAATTGTGCCCGAGGGCGTGGTATATTGATCATGCCACCTCAACTGATTTGCCTAGCCAAGGCTCCATTATTTACGACCTGCCTCTGATAAAACAATAAACTAAATTGTTCACAGGATGTCCTGATAAAAATCGGAAAGGAATGTTTGGCTCGTCTGACAATAAACCCTATATTGTCTCCCTCTGTGTATTGGATAAGGTGCTCGTGTTCCGTAACCTCAACGTTTATATCCTCCTTCAGTTTCATGTCACGACTGGCCCAGACTTCTAGCCTGCCTAGTTGCGCTCCTCCAGCGTGCCAGAATCCTGTAATTGTTGGTTAGAATCCCAAATTCAGCCTGATAATCATATTCAGTTTGTCAGCAACATAATACGTACGTTTATGTAATTCTATGCATATTCTTAGGTATAACAAACTGTGATGTATTTATTTCACGTGGTATGTTAAATCTCTTTTGTGTAATATGTTAATGTCAAGTAAGATGTAATATAATGTCACGTTTAACGTATTGTTCTTATTATTATTTACAGATTTAAAAATGCAGCAAAGAGGGTTTGGGTGATCAGGCTTTGTTTGGCTCAAGATCAGCTAGGGGCCCTTGTCCCCTCTACACGCAGCCCAGACAGCGAATAGGACTGCCCAGTCTAACCAAACCAGAACCTTTCGGAGAATGTGAAGACTCACCAACACCGCAGCCTTCTGCACTATCCAGATTGCCAGAAGGACGTATTCCTGGCAGCAACCACGGGTACTCTTCCAAAGTCAGTCAATAGATTTGGAGGTACCAAACCTAAGCCACCGAGAACAATGGGCAGTCGGACATCTTTGTGCTTGGAGTGCAAGCGTGACATTTCGAAAGTGAGGTCCGCATATTTGCCATGTTTTTCCTGAATCTTGTTATTCACATTAGTGTCAAAAGGGACAGAAAATTCAATGATATAAATGATTGCATTGGATTTATCAAAACGGACAAGATCAGGTGTGTTGGCCTGGATAGGTATGAGGCTGTATACGGGCCTATACCAGATTTACTCAATGAGAAAACTCAAACATCTACTTCACAGAAATACCATTAACAATATATATAAAATGTTCATAAGACCATACTTTGAATACGCATGTGAGGTTTGGGATGGTTGCACCGAAGGACAAAGTGAGAAATTAGAACAATTACAATTAGAAGCTGCACGCATTGTAACTGGTCTACCTAAATATGCCCCCAGGCATTCATTATATTACGAAACCGGTTGGGAACCCTTAGTTGAGCGTAGAAAGAAACGTAAACTTTGTCTTTTCTTCAAAATTAATCATAACATGGCCCCTTCCTATTTAACAGATATTCTACCCAAAACCGTTGCTGCAAAAAACTCATACAGTCTCAGAAACTCTGAAAACATCAGTGTTCCTCTCACAAGACTAAGACATTCGTGTGAATCCTTTTACCCATCGTCTTCCCTGATTGTGGAACTCTATTCCGTTATCAGATCGAAATTCTACGATTTCTTGTTTTAAAAATTCGCTACAAAAGCACAACCCCACGTCACCTGCGTACTTCGCTTATGGAAAAAGAAAATATAATATCTTACACACAAAACTGAGATACATGTGCAGTCAGTTGAACTATGATTTATATAAAATTGGTATAAAAGATCACCCGAACTGTACATGTTCGAATACATGTGAAAATGCATATCATTATCTCATCGAATGTCCATTGTTTAGTCATCAGCGTGAAATTATGTTAAACAGCCTTAAAAATATTGTTCATAACATACCTATTGATGTACACTTACTGTTACACGGCAATGCAGACCACGTTGTTACAGAAAATGAAGCTATATTTAAGGCAGTACAACATTATATATGTACAACTAAAAGATTCGTGTAAAGAACTGTTCATTCAATAATGTTACTCTCTCTCTCTCTCTCTCTCTCTCTCTCTCTCTCTCTCTCTCTCTCTCCCTCTCTCTCTCTCTCATCTATAGTGTTTTATGTTTTATGCATATATATTGAATTTGAAATTGTGAATATTTTGTAAATACCAGGGAGAGGGCATTCTAAGTTGGAAGAACTTGTCCCCCAATCCCGTTCACTCCTTGTGAATAAATATGTTTAAATCAAACCAGTTTGGATCATGTCACAACTCGATTCATAAAACATATTCTTACTCCATTAGAATATGAAACCAGAGAGTCCAATGGTTCCAGCTCTGTTTATAAGAAAGTTATTGGTACTTCCACTGTGTACTATGTTCATGTTTCGGAACACACTTCCTGCATTTGAACTTTGTATCAGAAACTCACATGGTTCTCGCTATTTCTGTAATTGAGTTGTTAGTACATACGTTTTGGATTACCAAGCTTCCGGTTCCAGAAAATACATCCTGCATTATACCGGAAAGTCTCATGGGTGTAGTTCAGTTTGATGCGACTTATTTGGAACTTCCGGTTTAGACTGTTACTTCTCTTTTATTGTTAAAAAAAATAACATTTTACAAAATTCCTAAACAGCAGGACAAAAATGATTAAATTGGGACCTGTAATTTTTGTCGTATCTGGTGTTCAAATGTCTACATTCACACTGTACATTTGTATAGCTCTTATTCACGCATCACGCAAGTCCATACAAGTATTACCCCAGTCTACGGTTCGATGCCCAGTGTCAGTGTCATAGGGTGAAATATGAAAACGTCACGGTCGGATAAGCTATGCATACGATCGTACTGTTTTAACATACATTTGTATTTGCAAACTTATGTACAAGTTTTAAAACCATGTATTATATAAAGGACGAATTTGCATAATAATCTGCAGAAAATGCTACAAATAACAAACATAAAACAAGCGATATTGAGTATGCGGACTTTTGCAGTGTTCGGTATGAACATCTTGTAGTGAGTTTAATTTGTCTTCGTCATAGCAATATTCCGTCAACACGTCGTTATTTCCATGTTGCGATTCATCTTTTTCAGTTTTCTCCACCGGTGCCATTCGTAATCACAAGCATGATTCCGTCATCCCGTACAGAAGAGCTATGAGCGGAACAAAACACAATCTATATTTCATTGGTCGATAATCTAACTGCAACCTCACATCATTTAAACATTTCCTTAGAGTAAATATTTATGAGTTACCCCTACCTCCCTCTCCAAGACCAGGGCTTGCCCTCATACGTGTACAAAAGTCACGAAGACGTCAATGATCATCACAATATGCCATTGATGACTGGAATGTTTGTTGACCTAGATTGACCGACGCTCTTTCAGCCAATACCATGACGTAGTGGAATATTTGACACAGAAATCTACCATCCATGGCGTGTCTGATCAGTGAAAGGTCAATGTCCCGACGGAGATATTAACGCCCACTCAAGCCACATGCTTATGGGCTATTCTAAAGAGAATCTATCAAATATTCGGTTTAATAGTGTGTGTTCATTCAGTCATAAATGTACGAGAAGATCCTGAAAATGCTGTAGTTCGTATAATTACTTTCTAGGCTACATGTTCACGTATCTGCCCAGAGTACACACGGTAAGTACATTATCATGGGAAATGTTTCATGATGCTTGTATCGGTTTATAAATAATTATTTCTTGTTTTTACATGCAAAATCACACTTTATATTTGTTATTTTGCATAGCTCTTTAACCTCACGAATCTTTGCCAGTCATAGTTCAAAATCATTCTGTTGTCATTCTTGGAATAACTTATGTAGCATCGTATTATAGCTTCATTTATACGCTTCCTTCGTCGTATAACCTCGTTAAAATATATTCAATATGGCCAGTCATACGCGAGAGTGATAAAGACATTATCATATGGACTGTAAATAATGTTAAGATTTCTAATGTGTTTCATCAACCTAAAGTAAAACCATAATTTTACAGGATTAAATGTCTAAATCAACATCACATCATGGCAAAATATACAGACCTACAGAATTGTACATTTATTTTTCTCATTCCTGTCGATCTTAAACATCTCCGAAAATGGAAACAAACTGTACATGTCGAGTAAACAAGAACAGAATTACATGTAATGCCCGTCTAACAAAATGGGAAGAAAGGTTGACCCAGTCGTCAAAGGCGCCGCAGATAGCTATGGTGAGTTCGTTTCAGAAACCTATGATCATTGGTTCGAATCCCGGTTTGCCCTGATTATGTTTCTAGGTTTTGCAGCACATTGCACGTGCTCGTTGGTTTCTCCGGCAACCAACTCTTGTCGCAAGAGACAACTTACAGGATCAGCTGGTCTGAATCACTAGCATGGTTTATGCATGTCATGGTATCCCAATTACGTTGTTTAATAATCATTATCTCAGTAACTCGTTGTCTGGTCCAGAGTCGATTCTGTACAGAGCGCCGTCATACTGTCGATATATTGCTGAGTGCGGCGTTAAACACCAATCAAAGAAACACACTAACAAATAAAACGTCGTCTCGCATATTGTCCCATGCGATACTTTGTAGAAAACGGACACTTCACGGTGAATTTTATGTTTGTTTGTTTTTTGTTGTTGTTTTTTATTGAGAGACTTTCAGGTACAACTTGGGGCATGGGTGGCCCAGTTGTCTGAGGCGCCGCGATTCGCTGTTCAGAGTTGCGTCCCTTGGGCACGCCAGAAACCTATGATCATTGGTTCGAATCCCGGTTCGCCCCGATTATGTTTCTAGCTTTGTCAGCACCATACCCGTGCTCGTGGGTTTCACCGAAGTGGTAAACGTCTGAGACCTGCATCACTTCGGGCTTTCCTCCCACATTAAGCTGACACGCCGTGTTATAACTGTAATACTGTTAAAAGCAGCGTTAAAAACCCAACTCACTCACTCACTCACTCAGGCACAACTCTGAAACTATGCGATAAGTAAAACACAAACTAAAATTTAAATGAAGCCAACAAATGATACCAACCTAAAGACACCTACACGTAAATAAAAGCGACAAAACCCGTTCCATAATCATAAGAAAGCTATGCTAAACGGCGAGTCCATCGTACGATTCCGACTCATAAGGAACACAGACGGTTATCGTGACCTGGTTGTACACGGCTGACTGAGCATCATGTACTAGTGTGAAGAGCTAGATATCTGCCCTTGTATCATTATACATTAACAGAATCAATGTTACGTCATGTATAGATTGGTTATATCGACTATTACAGCACGGCGTCAACAGCCTACCACAGTGAGCACACCTGTTTACTCCAGGTAAACACAGGGTTGTAAATAACGGACCCCCAGGTCGCGTTCTCATTCTCGGGTGTCATTGGATTACAGTTGATCAGGGGTGAGTCCTTTTCTGCGTATTCTCAATTAGTTGTGTTATAATTGTTATCTGTTACTTCTCACACCTGTTGAAGGGGCAATATGTAGCCCGGACATGTTGTGTATGTGTACTAAAGAGGTTGTTATCCATCATACTCTTTCTCATACTTGTCTCTAGTTGAATGTAGGAGGGATATGTCGTAATGGCTAGGAAATATGGTTCTGTATATCCGTATTTGAATATTTGAATAACTTTTCACTGAATTTATATATATAATATAGGAAGAGAGAGAGAGAGAGAGGGGGAGAGAGAGAGGGAGATAGAATGTTACCTACATTATTAACACATTGAACCGCACAACATAAATGACCTCTATGATTCTTTAATATGTGAGGGTTGTTTCTTTGAATGCAACAGAGTTTACAAAAAAAACAGGTAAATAAATCAAAGTGATCATTTCAAAGATCGTCTTCTGTATAAAATGTAAAATCAACCTTAATCGGTTTGTTATTTCAAAACTTCGGGAGTCACTTGGTTGATAACACTAAAAACAGTAATGACTATATTAACTGGGTCAGTCGTTACTTTTTGTTACCGTCTTTTGTTATGTCTTAAGTTGATGGTCTGTGTAGATTCATAAACCTTTTCAAGGAAACATGAAATATGATAGTTCACGGAAACACAGACCTATTTCAAGGAATGACACATGTATGCCATATACGCTAACTCAAATTACTGTCGTGGTTTATGTGAACTATTGTCTGAGTCATCCTGAAGATCTTAGTGGATAGCAAGTATGTAATTATTTATTTTGCAATAGCCAGTGTCAGAGGGTTATTGATACACGTATATTATATTTAATAGTAATACATAGCTGTGTACGCATACTATTGTGTCATAACACAACAATAAAACACAACGGTATAAACCTTGTTTGATGTGGTTACAGTTAATGCATGAACAGAACACAACTGAAGATTGCCTGTCTCGCGTTTACAGTAAATAAACAACAATATATGGTAAGTGTTTCAGAGAAATCATATTACTGCATTCCATATTTAAGTTTTAGTGTAATACATTTTCAACCCTTTTCTTCAATACAAAAGTAACATACAATATTTCAAATGCTGTCGCTTATCCATTGAATGTTTGACACAGACAGAAGACGAGACACTGTTTGGAAAAACACCCGCAGCTGGGTTTTGTTTACGTGGTGCCATGACAACGACGTGACCCGTGCTCATTGTGCATGGCCTCTCTCTGCCAACCAGGAAGTGACTGCTCCAATGGCCACCACGCTTGTACAAAGCGGGAGAGATATTGTGTCGTGTAGGTACACGTCGCCCGATACAACAGATTGTATACCCAGTCAAGTGTGCAACTCAGGCTATTGTCACACAGCAATCTGTGACAGATCTTGACAGTCGAAAACGCAACGCGAATCTATTACTTATGGGCCATTAAAATATATTGGAAGATCTGCTATCTTAGTTTTTTACTAGGTTTCATGATCAAGAGAAGCATAGAATTCCATGTTTGCGACAGTGTGTATTTGTTAAGCCCTTTGATTGGGGTTTGAGCACAACACTTATTTCCACAGGTTGTTTCTCAATAGATTATAAATGATCGCTAGCTATAGCGACTCCTAACGAGTTATCATGATTCTTAGGAAAATATAAAAGGTCTTCATTACAATCATTAACGCAAAATTCCTAAAAGAAAATCAAAGTGTATGCAATGTCAACATCCTCCACGTGTAATCCGGGACAGCTACCTGTGTAAGAACTGACACAGGTGAGGATCAAATGTCTATAAAGAGACATAAATGGTTGCTTGTGTGCCATCGCACCACGCCAACATCGATCGTAATTTACAGTTGACTTGATTAATCACATGCCTCTGGGAGACAGTTGTAATATAGCAAACTGCGGCGAAATAAGATGTTGACCATTTCGTCGGAGTAAATACAATACAATTTGATAAATTGATTTCATGTGGTTAATAGAAGTATCTAAAATCGTATTTTTCATCTGTAGATCATGAATACACTTTAAATATGATAATCACAGTATGAAAATAACGAAACGAATATGGTGTTATTCTGTGGTATCGAACCCAGTGCACGACCTGTCATTGTTTTATCAATATCATTATTGTTAAATGAAACAATACTTAAAATAAATACTTTCTGCATGCCCAGTCCGACGTACAAATTGCCCCGTCCCTAAGACATCTTTTTATGTTTACACACGTTTATCAAAATACTTTTTCAACTCAAATTTCGTTTTTGCACCGGATTCCGACCGTTTCCATCTCGAGCCGGGTGGTTAAATCGCACGCTCGTCCCGCCAAAGGCCCGGGTGCGATTTCCCTCAAGGGTACAATGTGTGAAGTGGGACATGCTAAGAGCAGCGTAAAACTATACTCACTCACTCACTCACTCACTCACTATTAAGGAATATTGTCTTTGTTTGTATTCTAGTATCGATCATTTGATTGTATTCCGGTATTCAGTGATTGTTGGTATTACAATACTGATTATTTGGCTATATTCCAGAATTGGGTATTTGATTGCATTCCTGTATTGAGTATTTGATTATATTCCACTAGTAAGTATTTGATTGTATTCCGGTCCAGTAGTGAGGTTTTCATTGTATTCGAGTATTGGGTATATGATTGTATTCCAGTAGTGAGTATTTGATTGTAATCCAGTAGTGAGTATTTGATTGTATTCCAGTAATGATAAATTGATTGTGTTCCAGTACTGAGTATTTGATTGTATTCCAGTACTGAGTATTTGAGTATATTCCAGTACTGAGTATTTAAATGTATTCCAGTTGTGAGTTTTTCATTGTATTCCAGTATTGAGTATTTGAGTTTTTCATTGTATTCCAGTATTGAGTATTTGATTGTATTCCAGTAATGAATATTTCATTGTATTCCAGTAATGAATATTTCATTGTATTCCAGTAGTAATTGATGGTACTTCAATAGTGTATTTCATTGTAATCCAGTATTGAGTATTTGTTTGTATTCCAGTAGTGAGTATTTGACTTTATTTCAGTACAGATTATCTGATTGTATTCCAGTAGTGAGTATTTGAGTTTATTCCATCATTGAGTGTTAGATAGTATTCCCGTGTTGAGTATTTGATTGTATTCCAGTATTGAGTATTTGATTGCATTCCAGTTGTGAGTATTCGATTATGTTCCAGTATTGAGTATTTGATTGTATGCCAGTAGTGAGTATTTGATTGTATTCCAGTAGTGAGTATTTGATTGTATGCCAGTAGTGAGTATTTGATTGTATTCCAGTAGTGAGTATTTGATTGTATGCCAGTAGTGAGTATTTGATTGCATTCCAGTTGTGAGTATTCGATTATGTTCCAGTATTGAGTATTTGATTGTATGCCAGTAGTGAGTATTTGATTGCATTCCAGTTGTGAGCATTCGATTATGTTCCAGTATTGAGTATTTGATTGTATGCCAGTAGTGAGTATTTGATGGTATGCCAGTAGTGAGTATTTGATTGTATGCCAGTAGTGAGTATTTGATTGTATGCCAGTAGTGAGTATTTGATTGTATGCCAGTAGTGAGTATTTGATTGTATTCCAGTAGTGAGTATTTGATTGTATGCTAGTACTGAGTATTTGATTGTATTCCAGTACTGAGTATTTGATTGTATTCCAATAGTGAGTATTTGATTGTATGCCAGTAGTGAGTATTTGATTGTATGCCAGTAGTGAGTATTTGATTGTATGCCAGTAGTGAGTATTTGATTGTATTCCAGTAGTGAGTATTTGATTGTATGCTAGTACTGAGTATTTGATTGTATTCCAGTATTGAGTATTTGATTGTATTCCAATAGTGAGTATTTGATTGTATGCCAGTAGTGAGTATTTGATTGTATGCTAGTACTGAGTATTTGATTGTATTCCAGTACTGAGTATTTGATTGTATTCCAATAGTGAGTATTTGATTGTATGCCAGTAGTGAGTATTTGATTGTATTCCAGTACTGAGTATTTGATTGTATTCCAGTACTGAGTATTTGATTGTATTCCAGTACTGAGTATTTGATTGTATTCCAATAGTGAGTATTTGATTGTATGCTAGTACTGAGTATTTGATTGTATTCCAGTATTGAGTATTTGATTGTATTCCAATAGTGAGTATTTGATTGTATGCCAGTAGTGAGTATTTGATTGTATGCTAGTACTGAGTATTTGATTGTATTCCAGTACTGAGTATTTGATTGTATTCCAATAGTGAGTATTTGATTGTATGCCAGTAGTGAGTATTTGATTGTATTCCAGTACTGAGTATTTGATTGTATTCCAGTACTGAGTATTTGATTGTATTCCAGTACTGAGTATTTGATTGTATTCCAATAGTGAGTATTTGATTGTATGCTAGTACTGAGTATTTGATTGTATTCCAGTACTGGGTATTTGATTGTATTCCAATAGTGAGTATTTGATTGTATGCCAGTAGTGAGTATTTGATTGTATTCCAGTACTGAGTATTTGATTGTATTCCAGTACTGACTACTACAAGACAAGATGACATCACCTGCGCGAGCCCCTTCGACCATGTCCGACATCGTGCTGGAGGCAGAGAGCCAGCTCCCCGAGGACTTCAACCCCTGCGTCACCGACACCTTCCTGGCAGTGCCGACTGCAGGCATCGTCGTCGTGCCGTGGAGAGTGTTCCAAATATTCCCAGAGATTGTACATCCGAAATTCCGGACTGTTGATGACGAAATCGTGTACGACGGTGACGTTAACATCCTCATGAGTGCAGCGTCGTTGTCAACGTCGGACCGGGGATACATGGAGGAACTCACACAGTCATGGTAGGTTTCTTAAAGGGTAAACAGGCGGTGGAGCAGCCTGATGGTCGAAGCGTTTGTAAGTCTCGCCGTCTGAAGTTGTTATCACTAAAAACAACTTAACGTTTTACAGGGTTATTAAAGTTTCAACGGAGGAGGAGCTGGACACAGTGACGGGTCGTCTTTCCGCCTTCCCCTCCTTGCTGTGTGTTACTCTGACAATCCGCAACGTCATGGAAGACAATTCAGAAAGTACGTAACATAGTGATAGTGGTTAAGCGCTGATCTGTGGTTCGATCATACGACGGCAATTACGTGCAATGTAAGAGACTTATGGATTTGTTTTGAGACCTCCTGAATCGTAATCTTTGAGTAAATCTTGAAGCGAGGTACCAAGGGGTGAATAAGTGAGTGAATGCTGCTTTAAACCGCTATGACTAATCGCCTACGGTCAAGGCAAACCAGCGACTGCACGTGTGAGCAACGACCAACGCGATCGTGCCATGCCACCAGTTACGTCGCCAAACCTAACCTTAAAGCATTATAAAGGAGCCCTGAATCCCCACGGGCACCGAAGGATCCTGTTTCAAATTTAGGGGATACAATCCTCCTGAGAGGAGTTTAACTCTTTGCACCACTTTGCCAACCTGCACTATGAAGAACATTGTTCGTGTGGATATCAATTGTTGTTTATTCACCGTTACGATATACCTTGGAGGGATTCTATGGTTAATTGTGTTACCAATTTGTTTCCAGTACCCATGGTCATCTTCATCAGCCCCGAGGCAAACTGCATGAAGAACCTCACCTCCAAACTGGCCGACGTGAAAGAAGGATTCGGGAATGGCAAAAAGTTTTCATTGGAGGTAAATATATAAAAAAGTCAATGCTGGAGAATAATCAGTTTCGATTATCTGCCGAAACAGATTCCATTGGGCGTAAAAGGCAAATTATACGAATGGAGGAAATATTTAATATTAAGAATGCTAGGCTACAAAATAGGAGTGTATTGGTTAACCCAACTATCACAACAGACAGATCACAACATCGATACGGCATTACATGTTTGACAAGTTAAGATAAGGATCCATCCACAATGAGACATATGACTTTTATATGAGATTTTTTTTTTCAGGGATATCTGATCATATCATTAAGTATATTGACAGAATAAACAAAATGCAAAATGATCAGTTTTCATCTGACATTAGTAGGAGTATGAAATGAACATGCCAATGCTCCAGATATCATGTGACGTTAAATGTGGGTCTCATCCTTCACATTGTGCTGATTGGGAGAGGTCACTATTTATTATGTGCTTATTGACTATCGGTTACCTATTCGCTGGATGGAGTTACTTTCCTTGGGGGTGTCAAAACAATACCAGCAAAGTGGGTTTGGGTGATCCTTGCACTGTCAGGATGGTTAGGATACTCATCAGCTCAGGGCCTTTTCCCCATCTACACGAAGCCCAGACAGCGAACTTCTCCCAGGAAGCGCTGCCAAGTCGACATGACGCCCTCTACATATTCTTGGTCGTACCATGGATGGACCTCTAAATGTGTGCAAAAGTGCAAAATAAAATTCTATTAAGAAGCGCCTCCACGTTTATCAAACCACGTCCTCCCATTATAACTGGTAAATATACGCGATTCCAGGAAAAACGAGGGTCGTGGGATCTATTGTCTGACATGATTCTTTGTTTGAGGGTGTCAGTACCATGAATTTCCTGTTCCCATCCAATCAACAACACCAAAAGAGTACGAAAGGGCGGTTACAGCATAAGCATTTGTGGCCTTGACTCTATTGCGAGCGTTCAGCTCTGAACTCCAGATTTTCTACATTTGTATTCTGCCCGTAGTGTGTCTTTGATATGGGCATTCTGGAGTTTGTCTCTTACCTGCATAGGCCCGATCTCCCACGAAATAGTCCATAATTCCACCCTAAATAAACTGACCGATCTTCTTCATCTTCATTTTCTTCTTCTTACATGAAATACTGTTAAAAGCGGCGTTGAAATAAATTCACTCGTTACTCGTATATGCTTACGTTGTAGTACCCATGCAGACTTTGATAACATGTGGCAGTGGAAATGGTACAATGTTTAAATAACAGGAAGGTATAAGCAAAATCATTTCAATGAAATGTTGTGAATATGTGAACCTCACATTGACATCTCATATCTACCCAGAGAAGGGAAACAATATGCTATATGCTATTCCCCCTTTACAGGTTGATCTCGGCCCATCGTTACAACAGTGGGGCAAGACAGTCTTGAGAAGAGAGTTCTTGAGCGTTGGAGGAAGATTCTGTGTCACGAGTGGCGCCATCTTTAATCACGTGTTTGACTGGAATAACATACTGGGTTGTGTCCCTTGCCTGCCGTGTGGTGTGATCGGCTCATCTGCTTATCGGGTCAGTTGGAACTGGATTTGTTTTCATAAGCAAACAGATGTCCTCAGATATTAGTATCGTGAATGTGAATCGTGAATGTGAATTTTTATTGTTTACGTTATATCTGATCGTATTTTTCCGGTCATTTTCAGAGTGCACATGGAGATAGAAATTGTTTATTTGTTAATTCTGCTAAAAAATACAAATATGTGTGAATACAAGGATATGAAAATTCAGGACAGAGGTTATCCGATATAATTACTGTTCAAACTTAAAATAATTCCAAAGCATGCTTGTCATAACAGTGTCCCGTTTCACAAAATAATCGTATCTCTAGCCATGTAAATGTTCGTAATCCAAGTTATCTTTTCGGAAAGGGGGTGGGGCGGGGTGGGGGGGGTCGGTTACTGGATTCTTTGTCTAAGTCAAAATATGTTTTTGACAAGCGTTTCAAAACAAACCATAGAAATAAGTTAAGGGACCCACATCACGTCATGTCAGATCTCCAGTGTCCAGTGAACTACCACCACCAACAACAACACAACCCCCCTGCATCCATTCTTAGCACACTACGACCGCTCTGTGATCGAGGCCCTGTCTAAAACACCATTTTATCACGTAGGTACATAAATAACTTCTTAATAAGCCAAAAGAAAAAACATTTTCGGGACGATTGATTGTAAAAACAGACAATTTTGGCTTGTAACTGGAAATTTGTTTGCCTCTCTGTTGATTCATATACTACTTTCTACGATTTAATATCATCACAATGTCTGATATTTTGTCCAGATCCACAGAAAGATAAATTACCAAGATGAGATCTTCGATACAATACAGGATATCGTCATCATTGGGACGAAAGGCTTGGACTTGTCAACGCAACAGGAAGCTGTGTACCTCTGTAAGCTATACTTTATACACTCTGTACAGACAACTATCTAATGTAAACGCAATTCGCTGTCGCATATGCGAATAAGACACCTCTGAACGTGGGATCCCATTTCAGAATCGCCATGATTCTGTGTCTTGTCTTAGCACCATGGAGTGCTCGTGATTTCAGCAAGTGGTAAACGTCGAATATAAAACGTCAACGCCAGATAATAACCAGTCTCAATTATCTGCCGAAACAGATATCCACTGGGCGTGAAAGGCAAAATAGGGATAGATTATATGAAAGGATAACTGAAAATCCTTGAGGAGACCAGGTGTTAGTGAAAAGGTTAAGCATGCCCTGCTCTACCGATAGCACCCGCCACTAACAAAATTTGCCCCAGCAATACTCCTGCAATACGACGGCATTAGCTGGAATATATGCAGTTTTTTATTCCTGGATTCCAGTACAGCCTAGCTTCAGTAATGAGTGAATGAGTGAGTAAAAAGTTTACATCGCATCGGAATATAGCGGTGAGAACAAGGTATTCATCTTGAAATATCTGTCGACAAAGAACAATAAAACAGTAAGGTATATCACATTGCATTGTATTTCAGTGATGCAGTGGATTAAGGTATTTCGACTGTACTATTGTATGGATTGCCGACGCAAGATGCCGCCGTTAGAATCTGGAAGCAACAGTGGACCCTTTTGCACATGTAATGTCAGGATCACATCCTCGCCTGTTTTCGGAAAGAATAAAGTGGCCCCTTTGGACGTGGGAGAAGACAGTTATTGTGGCGATCCGAACACGTCCAGATCAGAAACAGGAACATCTATGACAGCAGCTGCAACAGTAACATCAACGCAGGATGGCAAGACGCAATACCAAGAACTCCATGGCGAATCCAGAACACAGAAGACCCAAGGTAGAAAACATAAATCTAAACAGAAAAAGGTCATTGATGACAACGGGGGTCCTTTTGCCCCTTACCGAGAAAAGATCGCTGGCAGGGCTATAGCAAGGAGGAAGAAAGGGATAACGCAACAGTGTTTGAATCAATCAGAAATAGAGATGACAATGAACATATTAAATGCGAGACAGCCAGGTGGTGGTGTTCAACCGAAACAAGCTGTGTTCAAATATCCAGCCAAAAGAATATCCGACCAGCAAAAGAAAGCAGGACAGCGCAGGAGGAGGTCAGGCTTTCAGGAGATTCAGTTAAAGATGGCTGATGGCGCAAAGGGAGCTGAAGAAGGGGAAGCCAATGTTGAGGCATCTGACGTTACACTGGACAACAATGGTGTAGCTAGTGAAGATGGTTGTGTGGACAATGAAGATGACGTAAGGGATGTTGGCTTCTTCTTCGTGGACACTGACATGGACGAACAGTTTGAGAGAAATCCACTTGGTCAAACGGACCTTCAGAGTTTCTTGACCTATGAAAGGGATCCGAAAACAGGCACTGTTAATCCTGGTTTCGGTGGACAACCTGTTTTGAAACAGCCAAAGAAGAAAACGGAGAGCATTGCTTGAAACAGCATTGTTTGTGTTTAATATGTCAATATTATAATTGTGTTTGGTATTTCAATACTATAATTGTGTTTGTTATGTGCACACTATAACTGTGTTTTGTATGTCAGTACTATAATCTGTGATGCATTACAAGTGCATCCTCTGGGTGTAGCATTCACCTTCAATAAACTGCAGGGCAAAAGAAAGTATACATGCGAAAATTGGATTTGACCAATACATTACAAATGTTTCCTTAACCTTACTAGGCCGAAAACAGTCGCCGACACACTGCAAACGTTAAGTCCAAAACATAACTACGATACCCGTATCAAATACATCGCCATCAAATAACCATTTTCTGTTTGTTTCCTTTTTAGCCACAGTCAAACATGGGTGTTTTCTTTCTTTTGCCTGGCAGTTTAGTTGATACACGCCTTCAATGTATTAATATGCAGAGAAAATATTTTTATACCACACATCTTATAATGACGATAGCTGTTTTCATGTTCACATGGAAATAGCGAGAAATCACATGGCAATCTTATCATCATCCATTGGATGGTTCTATCTTTTAAGCAGTCGGTAGAGCTGACAGCATAAGGAACTAATGCTAGTCCGAAGTTACAAGATTTCAGATAGGTAATGACATTTAGTAGACTGTAAGGATCTACATCCTGCATTAGAAATGGTACGCTTGTGTTAATGTCAATATGGGAAGCATAAGCTCATTCAGCAGCAACCCTCATACTTGACAGAATAATATACTTCTTGTGTGATACTATGACGAAAATGATTTGTGCATCTATTCAATAAGGAGTATATAAATTGATGGCTAAACTATGAACATTGAATCCCTACGTCATAATGACAGTAGGGTCATCAGTATTGTACAGTTGTTATCAGACAAATAGATTATTTCAGTTAGGCCATTTGACCCATTGTACAAATGATAATTCATATTTATGTGCGCTTCAAATTACAGATTGTCTCTGAAATAACATATTATAGGTGCGCTTCTACAACTGTACAATTATCGTGTTTCCTGTATCTAAATATACTGAACCGCAAAAGAAACATCACCATGAATAAATATATGAGAAACCTTATTTGTCCAAACACTGTTAATATACTTTGAGACATATTACAAAGATGAAACTTAGCAAAACTGATTACCAAGGTTGAAATTTAAGTGTCAAATGTTCTTAAAGTGAAACACAACACCAGTCTCTCAGAAAATGGCATCACAAGTCAGTATCTCGGGTGTCCGCCATGTGCATTGATGACTGCCGTGCAACATCGACACATGAAATGGATGAGGCGGTTGATGAAAGCCATAGGCACTTGCGCCTACACTCTGAGGAACGTCTTTGAATCCTGTTTTTGACTGAGGGCAGGCCACTGCATGGTTCTGATGCAATTCTGCAAGAGGAAGTCTCTTGTTGCTCTCGCAGTGTGGGCACGGGCGTTATCATGCTGAAACTCGTGCCAAATGAGGTATGACGTGTGGTCTCAAGACTTGATCAATGTACCGAGGTGCTGTGACACCATTGCCTCTCCCTGGACCGATGTACTGGAAGCCCACAGGGCCGACCCTCTGTGCTTCTGGTCGTCCGCTACGTTGTCGGTCATCTGTAGTGTTGGTGGTCTGGTACCGTTGCTGGAGCCTTATATGGTCCTCACGTGAACTTGCCGGGCGGTTCGTCCAGCTCGCAATCGTCCAAGGGCTTGCAATCAATTTCTTGTCAATCTTGGTATGTTGTAGCAATTCAATAACGAATGCTATCCGATCTGGGTGGATTTTTATAGGGCAAGAAATGGGGGAACGCATGTACATTTCAATTTACACGGAACTCATGTGCATCGGTTTACCATGGCCATTGCCGTGATGCGTTTGTGCGATCGGTTTTATTGTCATCTGCTTTGTTTTTTTTATCATCATTTTTTTTTTTCCGGACAAGGTCATGTTAAATTTAAGAAACTTTGATAAAAATTACCCAGATATTTAAATGACAACTTTGCATGCAATGTTACTTCATGCGAAGCCTAATTTGACGGAGAGTTGTTCGACATAATCAGGGAGCCTTTGGTCATTTCGGTTATGACATTGGTGACTTTATCGTGGAGAAAGTTCCAATTCAAGATGACATCATTCCGATTCACACCTCGAATCGACAAGATGGCGCCTCTCTTCCCGCCCTTGCAAGTGCAACAGAAACATTGATATTCAGTGACGACTCTTGGGATTAGTGAATCAGTGTCGCAGCTAGATTTCATTGTGGAACCGAATATGTATGTTCACACTTCTTTTGTCAACCATGCGTGACACGGCACAGGCAATCGCAGTTAGGGAATGGTGCGGCCACCATGTTGCAGAAATTCGTCGATTCGAAAACATTGCTTCTGGACTGAGCTAAATAAACGAAGTGTTTGGAGAGATCGTAGATACTTGGACTTGAAGAAACGAAATTAAACGTTGCAGCAGATGAAGGATTGGTGTGGACAAAACGGGAAAGGGATCCCAGATTGTATTTTAAAACTTGTGCGCGAAGTGTATCCAAATACCCCGAACAAAAATTACATGGGACAAGTGTGGATCTAATGATCAAACTCAGTTTTGTGTGTGAAAATTCTGTGAATGAAAAGGAAATTCATAATTAAAGTTGTCTTGGAATATGTGTATTGGAGTTTTCGTTTATCGTAAGTACAATGTTATCTGGATACGCCTAATGTAGGTCAAAACATCAAGTATATTCAGTTACTTATTTACCAGTTGCTTATGTGCATTGTTATGTTGATACACGTGACATATTCATCCATTGTAGTCAAGCTGAGAAATATTGGATGAACTTCTGGTGCTTCAAATTAGGCCCCTTCCTAAACACTAGTTGAAAAAATCTGTGTAATTATTGTTAAGTTTTATGAATATAAACTGATTATTGTGTGGCACAAATCTAACTGTTGAATGCAAATGACCAAAACTAAACAAATATCTGTAATTTTCGGATTGAACTGAAAGAATCGCGTCGTCAATTTCGTATTTAAGTATCGTTACTGTTACATTAACCGAAACTGATGTTCTGCTGCTGTTCTGCCGTAAAAATATACAACACAATACACTTTGACCCCAAATGCATTGAATGTGTCACATGTACACATGACAATGTGCTTTGCTATTTATAGCGCAACCGTAAATAAGCTCCGCCCACTGTGATTGATGCAGACGACAAACACGATCGATTCGATTTTTTATGATTAAACTACAGAAAATGTATTGACTTATATGGAGCCATTTGTTGTATCCATGGTTTGTCATTCAAGTTGATACGAAGTTTGACGGTCAAAGGTTATTTGGTTCCCGTATGGTTTTCAAAAAACGTCTCCCGACACTTGGTTGTGTTTACATTGTCAGTCATTGTTCGAAACTGAAACACCGCCACCTTGCGGGCTATTTATAGTCAGGGTGGGGCTTTAAGTAATACTCGTTCCGCGAACACCTAGTGTCATCACTGATTTTCAGTGATCCGTTCATGTAGCTTTCACTGCTAGTTCGCCTGGTTGTGAAGATGCCATTCACGTACTTACTTTACACACGCATTGATAACCGCTAACGCCCCGAAAAACTACTGCCTCTAATCCCTTCTAAGCCCTACCCCCTTCCACCCACCTCTTTATCCCCCGAACCCCCTACTCTAATCCCAACATATAATAAACAATTAATTAAAGCGACAATTAAAACCCTTTCCATATCCAATTGAAATCTCTGCAAAAATCAGAGTCGATTGTACAATTCCGATTATATCATGAGAATGTGTTTATGAATCAATATCAAATAGTAATGATACCAGGTGTTCACGAAAAGCCAACCAAGTTTACAAAAAAACAAGCCAACCCCTAACCCCCTCCTTCTACCAAATTCCCGTATTTCCCTCCTTTGAAACGAATGTATACTATAGTACTGGAGAACTGGTACCAACCTTTCCCTCCCATCTTGATGATCCCACCCGTTACATCCCTCCCAGCCCAACCCCTCAACCACCATTTCCCATTGTCCCACTTGTGTAATACTTTAAAGGAAATGTTCTAACTTCCTGAACTACTGCTGGACATTGAACTTCTGGACAGGTTAATATAACAACCCGACTGTTTCTTCTTTCTGGAGTTAGTGTTGTGTTTGATTAGCAAAGTGTTGATGTCCGACAGGATGATTAAAGCAACTGGAAAGATTAGGAACATGAACCCAAAACAGCCGACAGCATTAGCCGATGGACGATTATCAGTGGCACAGGTTTTCTTTGACCTTGTCTTTCTGAGGGAAGATGTATCCACTCCCAACTCCTTCTTCACCCTCTCTCTATGTTCCTGTACAGCTTCCTTTGACATATTCTGAAGGCGGTTGCTTCGACAGAAGCAGTTACACCTCCATGACCCCTTCTTGATCATACTCAGGATATTTTCCCTTTCCTTCAGAACTGTTAGATAATTATTGTGTGACTTGAGGAACTCCTGCATCAGTGCTGTCATGTTCAGTGTTCTTTGTTGTCCAGTGTTTCTATGCAACCGGTCGTACTGGACTGTTAATGTCACTGGTTTAGGAGGCTCATCGGATTGGATCTGTGTGGTTTTCATTGTTTCCAAGCTGGTTGACGTGCTTGGAACATTCTTTGTTGTCTTTTGTTGGGTTGACGCGTCTGTTGTGACTTTTACGGTCATAGTTGACTCTGTCAGTGTTTCCGTTGTCCACTTGAGGGTGTCAGTGGTGGCATCTGACCGAGTAATGGACGTGGCCTCCTTTATCGTTGATGTATCATATGTCGGTTCAGTCTCTTTGGCAGTGCTATCAGGTGTGATGCCTGTCGTTGACGGAATTCCAGTATGATCTGTTTCAACTGCCGTGGTGTCATGATGGGTGCTTTCTTTACTGGTCAATATACTGGTACCTGTTGTCATTCCTAGTCTCTCAATGATATCTGTAAAAATCATCGAATACATTAAACATTCTAATCTATGATATCGCATGTATGTTCACATCCTATGTGATGTAAACGCATAGCCTGCAACTTTATTATCTAAATGGCTCTAGTAAAAGCTGATGACATGAAAATGATAAGACATGTTTCATTAAAACCCAACATATTTTAGACGGCTATTTTTTTCTGAGACTGAAATATTTACCGGTCTATGATTGGTGTATGAATTGTTCTTCTTAAGGAAAGTGATGTGAGATATGTACATACCAGGGAGAAGAGGTTTACATCTTGTTCCATGCCTCTTCCTACTTCTTCTTATTGTACCAGAGGTAGAGACATGTTGTACGTCAAATCCACAGATGCTACTGGAATTTCTGTTGCAATTCCTCCCGTCCCACTCCATGTCACTCCCATACAATGCCAAGCATGACCGTGAGTTCTTGGCTGACCACCCTGTGATTGGATCACAGTCACTCCAGAGCCAGATTCTAAACGTTTCCGAATATCTGTACCTGAAGCCACCAATAAACGCTGGACCTCCTGGAAAATATACACGAAGCATTAACTCATCTTACATACAAATACTAGTTAAAGATTGGTCATGGTTGGTTGGTTGGTTGGTTTGTTGTTTAACGCCGCACTCAGCAATATTCCAGCTCTATGACGGCGGTCTGTAAATAATCGAGTCTGGACCAGACAATCCAGTGATTAATATCATGAGCATCGATCCACGCATTCGGGATCGATGACATGTATCAACCAAGTCAGCGAGCCTGACCACCCGATCCCGTTAGTCGCCTTTTACGACAAGCATAGTCGCCTTTTACGGCAAGTATGGGTTGCTGAAGACCTATTCTACCCCGGAATAGATTGGTCAAGGAGCGGGTAATCGCATTTTTGTGTGTTATAACTCAAAACACGTGTAGCGAGTGAAACTGATCGAAACTGCGGATATATATTCCGGACTTGTATGAATGAATGTCGGGAAAGATATGTGTTAACGACAAACATCTTGTGCAAGAACGTTTATGTCTGAAAAACTTAACACCAAACACATCCTATAGTTTGCACGTGCCTCATGCAGTAGCACTGCACACATGCGTAGGGTGTCTTTCCTCACGTCAACACTTTCAAGGAACGTCGATTAATCTCTCTCTGTCGACCATTATTTCTGTCAATCTTATTGAATGTGTTTATCATACAGTTGTGATTTACTTGATTTCATTCACTGTTTGTGTATGTACTAACGATGCGGGGTCTGCCACGCGTGGAACGTCTACGGGCTATTGGCATGCTGGAAACTGGCAGATGTCAGCTTGCAGCGGCCAATACGTTTAATGCCTCACAGTCTGTGATTCGCAAATTTTGAAACAGGTATCAACAAACCAAAAATGTTGACGATCGACGCCGTTCAAGGAGTCCAAGGTCAACGGCAGGAGTACAAGATCCATTGATCCGAAACCAGGCTCTAATGTGCCACGCGTTGTGCCGCCTCTTACAAATCGTCATATTGACAGCAGGCGTCAATGAACGTCAAGCCAAAAGTTAATGTCAAATTGACAGATTTGGCAATGGATAAGCTATGATGTGGGGTGGCATCACTATAACTAAGCCAACCCCACTCCATATTGTGAAAGAAAGGGACAGTATTACATACTGACACCCTTTGTTGTCGCTTTTGCAGGGCGTAAGGGTCGACGTGTTGTTGTTTTTTCAGAATGAAAACGCCCGTGCTCACCGTGCGCGAATTGTCAATGCGCACCTCAAGTAGCACAAAATCCGTAGAATGCCATGGCCAGCAATGAGCCCAGACGTTTCCCACATTGAACACGTCTGGGACATGATAGGGAGACGTGTGCGTCAACGTCATAGGCCGCCGACCACGTTGGCCGAATTTTCCCAGGCCTTGCAAGAGGTGTGTGTCAGACTCCCTCAAATTGCCATTGGGAGACTCACACGCAGTGAAGGAATGTTTGACAAATCGTGAGGCTGTAACACACTACTGATCCCAATACGTTAACTTTGAACATTTCCATTTTACCCCTACCGTCCTTCAAGACCGCTGGCGGTCATTACATCCACAGTCATCCTTCACTACCGATTGTGAGGTGTTTCCAATTCGTTCATTATTATTAATATGCAACTGTTACAATTTTGGAAATTTAAGTTATTTCCGAGTATCGCCTACTTTTTAAGGATTTTATAAAGGCTAAAATCACGTGGAAGTATCCTTTGAGTGCTGCCTGAGCAGGTCAACGGCAAGAGTACAAGTACGCCGTATTTTCAATTGAAAATCAAACTTATGCCAAAAATATATGATAAAATCATTGAGGGGGTATAATAGTTTGCCCCTCAGTTTAGAACATGTTTAAATTCGGAATGTTTACTGCGAAGATGTATATTAAAGCGTTGACATATTACCTACCAAATTTGGCATAAATGCCTTTTATAGTCTGGAACATCTTGTCCGTCTTTATATCGAAGAGGAAGCCCCCTGGAATATGACAATGGATGCTTGCAAACTGCCTGGTAAGTTCCCTGTGTTCATACTTCACGCACATGTCATCAGCCGGGAAGTACATGAATCCCACCCCCGTCGGGCAGTTGGTCTGATCTGGAAAGTTTACAGCACCATACACACGAGAACAAACGTGAATCAAGCTAAACGGAATGCTTTGCTGTCTTAAATATATGGATAGGATAGTAGACAAACCAGTATGTATTCATTATTTAAGACATGGTTGTACTTGTGTCAATTTATCAAGGATGCAATTGTCAAGTTATTAATTTGCTTGTGTTGGACCAGTAGACATCTTTAAAATCGTTTTTTTGTTCATGGGATAGATGTGTTTGTGTGAGTTTTGAATAGTATTTCAGATACAACACAGCACTTTAGCTCATGATCTGGAATTCGAATTTGAGACCAACTGATCCTTTCTTAGCTAAGTTTCTGACCACTTGTTCCCCCGTTCCTCTGATATACAAATCTGTTGAGACACCAAATTAGTTGCAACCTGTGTTTCAATATGATGGCAGGAGTAACGCCTCGGAAACCTGCTGACACAGATTTGGCATAAACATGCTTACCCATCAACATTCCGGGTTCGAGGCCGGAGGCAACATCATCCTTCATAGAATGCACTATGAGTCCAAATGGTACAGTAGAATTTAGGTGCAAGAGTCCGGAAGCATCATGGACTTTCGTGAAGGTTTTCATGGAACACGATTCAATGTCATGTGTGAAGACCTTTGGATCATGTAATTCCCCAACTGCTTGGGAAAGGAGATCTACGACATCTTCGTGTACAATAACTGTCAGAAAATACTGCGATTTCCCGGCAAGATTAACGGTATACTGTTGTAAATACTGGCTACTCGAAGGAACTTGGTGTACTGTATGTAACTGACGTCCATTTGTTTCGATAGGTTTCAATACAACCAAGACATACATCGGCTTGGTTGAGGAAATACACAAAGGCTTATCTACATCCAAGACGATGTCAATGGGCTCCTTATCTACACTGTTTCCCCATCTCCTGCCTGTACTGGAGGAAAGTTTCGTCCCGGCCTTAGGGGCATATATTCTATACAGACTCTTCACGACTGGGTAAACGGGGAGCACATAACTCCACCCAAATAACGACTTGGGTAACATCATCTTCTCAACCAGGTTCACAAAGTTCCCTGTTTGGCACGTACTTCCAACCATCACGGCGACTACCTTATTGCTGCTGATGGTACTTCCGGTTACATCGGAAGAACACTTAATGCCATACACAGACAACTTGTTCATACTGATGGTCTTCTTGAACCCATGCTTAAATCCATGACAGTCAAGGTCCTTCTTTGCGAGTCTTAATGTGATGGTAACTTTGGTGTTATCGTCCTTGGACACAATGGAAAAGAATGTCTGGCAGCTCGGATCGGGAAGATAGGTTACAACAACGTAGCTTGTAGACAACCTTTCTACTGGAATACAGATAAACCCGGCTGATATATCTGGCCTTTTACTGATGCCACGTACAGACACTGAGGACGTTGATGATATAGAAATTCCTTTTGGTTCCATTTCATTGAATTTGCTGTAACTTGAAGGAATATATACTGTTTTGACTTTCTTTGTCATGCTTATTGACTGCTGGCTATTCGAAAAAATCAGTTTTATTTTGACGTTAGGCTCTCCTGTTATTTCCGCATGTGTTGTATTCTTCAAGGCGGTAGGTCCATACTGTGTGAATGCCAAGATGAACTCTTTGCCCCAGTTATCGCGAACTCCTTCACTTAAGGATACTGAAAGAGGAAAGTATGTCACTTATCTGTTTGATCAACACATTCATAAACATATGCTTTTAATATACTGTAAATCTTAAAATTAACGCGAATCGTACAATCCACTCTACATTAAGCAGTTTTTTTATAAATATGGAAAGGGTTTTGTCGCTTTTAATTAATAAGGGGTTTTATACCGATGACTATACCGGAAATAAAGATGTCAAAATAACAGGATTACACAAACTAAGGCTACGCCTATTAACTATATATGGACACGACTGCAATATACGCACTTATTCATTGTGTTTGTTGTTTAACGACGCACTCCGATATATTCCAGCTCTATGACGGCGGCGAAACAGTGATTGCTATTACCAGTAACAATCCAAGTTGTCGGGGTATGATGACCCGCAACAAGTCACCAAGCATGATCACCCCGACCCAAAACCGTAAATAGAATCTCTATTCACCTAGGCAGAAGCAATACAATCATCATTACATATTAATTTTACTTAAAGCAACCATCATGTCTTACCCAGAAGAAGGCATCCCTCTAGTACGAGCATCCTATTGCTGCAAAATAAATGATGTATTTGCAAAACATACAACCTTCACACGTTTTTCAAGAACACGCTTAATTCCAATGTGATTGATTCACTTTGTAAACACCGTCCATATTTATAATTTACCTACATTAGGTGACTTTACGAAAAGATAGCTGGTATGATATCATACCATTCCATATGGTGTTCAGTTCATTCTAAATAAACTACTACAGCTTCCTGTGCTCGTTCAATGTGATGTTACCTACCTACGACACCTGTGACAGTCTCTCCTAAACTGATCTGTTATTTCAACTGTGTTGAAGACGTTCGCGATTCAAACAGAGCGGTTTCCAATAAACACGAGAAAATAACATAATTTATGTATACCCTCACTGCGCTATCGGTATAGAGACGCATTTAGAAATTTGCATTATTAACAGAAATTGATCTGTGAGTTACGGATACTACCCGATTTCCGTGTTTACTCACAACAGATGTGTGTATACGTTCTGATAATGTTAACACTGCCCTGTTTAAATACCCAATCCTTAAGCATTATCTAGTTAAGGTTGTAGAATTATAGATAGTTCTACACACATAATATTGCTTTAAATACGTTCATAGTGAATTTATTGTTACGAGAAATGTTTGAAAGTATCTCTTAAATTTCTGGATCTGTTTAATTATTAGCTGGATTTTATACCAGATTTGACCTCCGGCCTATTTCAGTTTCATGTACAATTCCGTAGATGTGGCGCCAGCGAAAAGGGTTCCATATTTGTATGAATTGTTGTTATTGTTTCGTATTCTACCGTTTTTGGTTACGTAATTGTTCACAAGAGAGCGACTCATAGATCACATGCATAAATCAAAAACATAATATGCTTCTCCCTGCAAATTTACCATCTTGCACACCTAGGTACACGTCATCGGTTATGTCATCGATACTAGTAATTGGTGTGAACGTCATCAGTAATGGTTGTGTACGTCAACAATAATAGGTGTCATGTTACTAAATTTACTTAACTATTAACTGACGAGTGTGTATTTGTTTCGGTTCATTGAGGTATGAATCGAAAAACCGATGTGGAAACTGTATAAATCCGCGTAGAGGATTATAACAAAAGCTTGCGCATCGGTTTTTCGATTCATACTTCAAAGAACCGAAAAAATACACAGTCAATCCTTAGAATTAAATTCCACCACGAAATCATGTGTTATCTACAATAGTTTAACCAAAAATAGTTGTATATGTCAAAGCAGACGAAATTTACGAGATTGATAAACATTCCAGGTGAAGGAATACATACTGTGTCGTGACATGAATCAAGTGATTGTTTAATTTATGCACATAACTTGACACGCCCACAAAGTCAGTAGCTAATCAACGGTGAGTAGGATCAAAACAAACTTCATAGGACCTGTCAATCAAGGCAAGAGGCGGGAACTGCAACAGTCAGACTGTTACCAACCGGAAAACAAATCAGAAGGCGAATGTTTCAAATGACATGGTCAGTAACCTCCAGATACAAACATTAGTTCCCTGATAAAGGGACGACACTGTTGGAAAAATGCGGGTTAGAAATGAAACCCGAAGACATGATATTTGTGGAACCCAAGCGAGCGAGCCTGCACGTTTGCTGTTTCATTCTTTCTCGGCTATCGGCCTCAAAGGGTACTTTGGACAATGAATATGCATGAATTTCGTTAAATGTCCTGTACATGACGATACACGTGAGCAGAAAGGGAATTCCCTCGACTGTAATATTGGGATTCCCCTCCATTCCGTAGTAATAAAAGTAGTCCACTTCGGTAGGCTTGGATTAATACATTCAGAATGCAGGAATTACAATGAACACAGCGAAATTTTAATTATAAGAGTGTTGAAGCCTATTCCTGGCGTCAACCACAGTTACATGTGCAATGCTTGAAAATTGTTAATGGTGGCTTAAGACATTCTCACTCATGCTTGTAAATAGGACCCCTTTTGAATGTAGCTACAATGTGCGCCAATTTCTCACACATATATATATATATATATATATACTCACACGCAAAAGAAACGCAAGTCGACTATGCAGTATACATGTTATTTATTTTTAACAGTAAAGACAAGAAATACTAATAGAGCAAGATTGACAAAAAATTGATTTTTTCAAATGTGTGACCACCATTAGCATTGATCACTGCCACACATCTCCTGTACATTGAGTGGATCAGACGATTTGTGAAGGTCCTAGGGATCCTCCTGCACACATCCAGAGCAGTTGTGCGTAGTTCATCGGCAGTTGTAGGGACTGGGCGCACATTGTGCAGACGCCTTTGAACCTCATCCCACAAGTATTCGATGGGGCTGAGGGCTGGCCACGGTAGAACACGGATGTTGTGTTGTTGCAGAAAGGCCATGGTAGCTCTGACAACATGGGGACGAGCGTTGTCCTGCTGGAAAATTGGTTGTAGATGTTGTGCAAAAATTGGAACAACGTGGGGTCTGATCACTTGGTCGATATACCGCTGAGCAGTGACGCCGTGTCCCCGACCTTGACCGACATTCAGAAAGCACATGGGTCAAAGTGTCGCATTAAGTCCAATCCCTGCCCATATCATGACGCTAGTTCCACCCCATGGATCCCTTTCCACAACGTTTCTGTCAGCGAAAGGATCACCTCGACGACGCCAAATTCTAACTCTTCCGTCTGCATGGGAGACACAAAAGCGACTTTCATCAGAGAAGATGACACGCCTCCACTCACGATGACGCCAATTGTGATGACCCTGTGCCCACTGAAGTCGTGCTTGTCAATGCCGTGGTTGGAGAACAGGACGACGTGCTGGTCGGCGACATCTGAGGTTGTTTGAACGGAGACGTCGAATCAAAGTGTCCCGGCTAATGTGTCGATTATGTGTTCCTATGGTCCGTCGAGCACTTTCACTTGCAGTTAGGAACGGATGTCGCTTGTGTTGACGGGTAATCTGCCGATCTTTTCGAGGTGTGGTGGTAGGTCCAAGAATCGGCCATAGTTTTATACCAACTACAGCTCGTGACAGTTCGTGCATTTTCGATTTCGCGAGAAATGGGTGCATGATACCCACATATTCATTGGAATGGTGCGTTTGTTGCCTATTTGCTTAAAACCACTTGCGTTTCTTTTGCGTGTGAGTATATATATATATATATATATACATATATATATATATATATATATATATATATATATATATATATATATATATATATATATACTGAGTCAAATTAAAAACTTCACATTTTTAAATATATGATATATAACGGACAAATGTATCAGAGAAGGTAATTTTTAATCATTAATGTCCAAAGAAGGATTTAAATTAACGGTGGTAACCATAATTTGTTCCAAGCACCTTCGGTATTCGGTAATTACATCAACACTTTAAATCATAAGTCCCAAGCACGAGAATCTGATGGCACACAAGTTCAGTAGCGTGTATGGCCACCATGTGCGTTGACAACTGCCACACAACGCCTCCGCATGGACATTGTGATGCTTGTGAACACATGATTGGGAAGACGACGCCATTGTTGCTGCAAAATGGTGCCAAGATCTTGCAAATTCTGTGGTTAGTTCTGGAGAGTGCGCAGACTTCTGCCGAGAGCATTCCAGACGAGT